TTTGTAGAACCTACAGTTCCTTGGAGTTTTCCATTGTTTTGGTCTCATGAGTGCTGTCAAGCAAATCCTTTTTTATGCTGGCAAAGATAAACTACCAGTTGTAGTCAATTGATCAAAATATTTACAGGCCCTGTCAAGTTAAAAAAGTTTCAGTGCCATCTGTTAAAAGATGTAAGTGTATATTTGAGCCTTTAGTCATTTAAGCTTTTATGCTGTACAATCATTCTACGTAGTTCAAAGATATAGCATTCATAGCATTCATCACAATGATGAGCATATGTAAACTTCTAAGCACAACTTTATGTAGAATATGATAATGGTATCACAGAAACTTCTGGGAACAAAACTCCAAGTGGTTTGGCCAGACCTGATTGTCCGGTGGTCTCAGGAAGCATATGGCGGGGTACAGGGGTTGAGTGAACTGGTGATGAGCTCTGTCGAACACCGGCGTCATGGCTGCTGAAAACTTTTGCAGGACAACCATGTTTTTTGCATCGTAAAATATCAGCTGGCCTTTGTCATAATTAACCCACACTCCCACTTTTCTAATTGGAGTCTGCCCCACTCCTTGACATGATATGTGCCGGTTGTTGTGCCATGCGGTCAGATTGCAGTTCTGAAACTCTACGCACCATGAGTTCCTGTTTCGGCCCAGCTTGGCGCCCTTGTCATTGCCCTTTCTCTCAAGGGTGTCATAGGCTACACCCACAGCCCAGGCTGAGCAGCAGCGGACATCAACCTCCCAGTAACTCTGACCTGCTGTGATGGGAGAGGACCCCAGAGCACAGCATACCTTATCAAACTGAAGGGGATGTTCTGGAGCTGGGCAAGCGGAGCCAGAGAAGGACATGCCCCGCCCCTCTGATGTCACTCTGATCAGATTATGGCAAGACTGCCTGTCGATCATTACGGGGAAAGAATCTGAAAAGAATGAAATAGATTTGTTAATGAGATTTTGATCTTTTGTTATTATCAGAGTTACTGTAAACAAATGTATTATTACTCGTGATTGTAGCAGATAGCGCAGCATATTTGATTTGACAGGCTATTAGTGTTACAGGGTGGGGATGGGGGTGAGAGGTCAAATTGCATAGGAAGTGGGCTACTGGAGCACAGCATACATGGAAATGGACTGACAACAGGGAATTGATGGAATGCTTCTAATGAGAGAAGACCAGTGCATGTGGGAACTATGGATAAGTAGAAAGCCAACATCCACACTTATTAAAAAGCACCTGGTGGCTCAGTGCGTTAGCATCAACAGATCAGCAAACAGCTGATATCAGCTATTTGGATCTACTAAGTTGAGAGTTGATGAATTTGATACCATGATCATCAATACCTATATTTTGACCTAAACACCATCCAACCCAACCATTTTTTCACACAATGACTGATTTATTTGTATATGCAGCAAATGAGTAATCTGGAGCAGACATTTACTGTAGATTGCAGGGGGGAGGGTGGGGGGGAAGAAAAATGTTAATTTTTTTATTATTTTAACCAGATAAAGCATCCCTTGGTTGGCCTACTTTGTTCTGTCATGCTCCCAAAGTACACCTAACTTCACTCGCTCTGCTGCTGTAAATGAGTTAGCCTGATAGCATGTAGATGTAAGCATCTTAGTACCTAAGAGTAGAGTCTTCCTCTGCAGCCTGGCCTTGAGGTTTTTGGAGATGGAGGAGAGTGTTTTTAGAAGCCTCTCAAATCTCTCTTCATTCAGCCTGATTTCCTTCTCAGGCGTGTCTGGCTTCTTAAGGCTGGAAGAGTGGTGACAAAGATCAAAGTGAGGCACAGAGGTGCGATTTAGACCTGTACGGGGATGAAGCAGCAAATGTAAAAGGTGCAGCGATTTACCTTACAGTCTCAGAGTGACCCTTGAGATGAGACATAAGCAGAAATACTGGTTAAAATAAAAGAACACTACTTATAGCTTTGTTATTGAGCTGTATGTAAATCAGACCTGCTCGCCTTCCTTCGCTGTGGTGCTTTTCAACGTTCTCTGTATGCTGCTGATGCTCTTGGTGACCTGGTCGTGGTAGTTATCCCACTTCTTTAGAACCTGGTCCAGCTTGGTCCTTGTATGCCTCAGGTCCAGCTCCAGAGAGTCCAGGATCACCTGTTCATCCTGCTTCAAAATGCACCGCATGTTCTCAAAGTGCTCTCGAACCTGCTGCTTCATGACCTCTGTGGTCCTCTTCAGGAAGGAGCGTGATTAAGAGGACATGTTATTAGGGATTTATTATATATCATTGCTCTGTTTGCAGTCCTTGGACTTGGTGGTCAGAAATGTATTAGGTCATTTTTCAGTGCTGGTAGTTTTAGGTTTTTACTTACAGAGAGATCGGCCTTGCGTTTCTTCAGAGACTGGATGCGCGCCTCAGTCTTGGACGTTTCAGCCTGCAGCTCCTGGATACGTCTGGTTAACTGCTCCTGCAGACAACAGGACACTTTTTGTATCATAAATGATCTATTGATCTGTCTTTGGCACCTGATGATCCATCTATCCCATCATACTTGTTAATCAGTTCCTGCTACTCTTTAAAGAGTTCTACACTATACTGAGATTTATATGACAGTATTCCTTTTCTTTTTTGGGGCTGCTGATTGCTGAGCTCTCTAATAAAGAAAAGTTTTATAGAGAGAAAAGGCACAGTTTTGCCTTGATTAGGTCACAGTCATTATGGCTTATGACCCATGCGTAGATAGTGGTAAAATCTCTAAAGTCTGTGTAAGAATCACAGAGTAAATACTTCATGCAGTATTGCATTCGAGCCCTGGAGTTCCCCCACCCCTGACCTACAAGATGTTAATCCACAAGCCGGGTTTATGGAGATTGGCAGCACTAGAGCAACTTATTAATATTTAGCAAATAGTTTTAATGCTATAGCCGATTGGTGTATGTTCCAGCCAATCAAAACATATCTGTACCTGAGAGGGTTGTGCGGTTTTGGCAGCCTTACGCTGTAGTTTGGGTGAACGAGAAAAAGGTTGAACAGTGCCGTCACTGCTGGCGTCCAGTGGAGTGAAGCTCAGCCCGTCTTGCAGTAGGCTGTGGATGCCTTCAGAGGGCGCTAAAAGATTAGTGTAAACGGCTGTTGACGTTCCATTACCGAGGGAGCGCGACTCTCTTTCTGCCATTTCTGAGGACTGAACAAAACAATAAAAACAGATTACATTTCTACACAAGCCATTTTCTCATTTACCTTTATTTAAAAAAGCACTTTCTTGGGATTAGCTTCTGCTGTGTATTTGTGTGTGTGTATAGATTAAATTAACTCGTCAGGGCTATGAAAAGTTTGAGAAAACCTGTCATTTCATGCCAAGCCTTTACCAAAAATCTATTCCAGATCAGAGTTCCAAGTCTGACCTACTGTAATAATTTAAATAAAATAATAATAATTAAATCCAATGTTTGTTTGTTTTTATTCAAGTTTCAAAGAGACGAGTCTGTTCTGTTGTGTACTGTTTAATAACTTCTGCATGATAAAGGCAGCATATCTGGACTAAAGCATATTCTTTAACCATTATCAAATAATGTTGTTGCAAGAACTTCTTACCTGAGTTCTCTGCGCTTTCGCTGCTGTTTGTTTCTGTAACGTTGTGCTAGAAGTGCAGGATGGATATGTTCCTGGGTAACAAGCTTCAGCTTGCAGCACATAGTCAGACACCTTATCCTTCCCTGCTGTGTTGTTACCTAATGTGCTGTATACCAGTCGTCGATAGGCTCAATCTTGTTCTTTTTTTCTTTTTTTTTTAACCAGCATCCGGAAGCACTGAACAGTCTGTTGCATAATAAAAAGCCAAACAAAATCTTTCTGTTTCAGGTATGCTCAGTTCTACAGTCAAGATGAGTTCTGTCATTACAACATGTTTAACCATCACTTCTTTGGTGGAGAGGTAGGAGTTGAGCTGATGTCCTGCTAGTTCAGTCAAGCTTTCCATCAACAGCCGAGTTTGATAAAGCCTTCTCTCTTATCAGTCATCCAGTGCAACCCTGAAGAACTTCCTCAGAGAGTCTGACGGGGAGAAGGTGGCAATGGTAGCCGACCCTCCGTTTGGTGGTCTGGTGAAGCCCCTGGCCAACAGTTTCTCTCTGCTATCTCACACATGGAAGAAGTTGCAGAGCTCTGGTCAGCACCGCTGTGGAACTTTCAGAATTAATTGTTTCTTCTTATATTTATGACTTGTGTCTTTTTTTTTAATAGGTATAAAATGCAAAAACAAAACTTCATGCTAAAATGTTATCATAATTTAAAGTTGATATGGCTAACATGTTAGCACAAAGTGGAGCAGCATTAAGATACATTTAGAAGCTCTATCGGGTGTTGGAAAGGAGGTTGGTTGAGAAGTGTAAGACTTTAAATTATACAGACTAACAGCAAAACGAGCTAAAAGAGGCAAAGACTGTAGATTTGCTTACAATTCTTTACTCTGCAGGTTAGGGTTAAGTTAAAGTTATAGTAGCAGCAAGTCATGGCATGGCTCACAGAAAGAGACTTTTTGTTTACTACTACTTTAAATGAAGAAATCTCGTGTTTGACTGTAACATGCATGTTGTGTTTGTGTGTGCAGACAGCAGTAATGCTAACATGCCCATGATCTGGATCTTCCCTTATTTCTTTGAGCCTCGGATACTGGAGTGCTTCCCATCATTCAGCATGTTGGATTACCAGGTAACAGCAAGGCAACAGTTTAGAGTCATCAGCTAATATTACTCTCTGCATACGTATAGCTTTAGGTTTTTCTAAACTAATAACATTAAGTGATGCGCTATAATATTTACTTGCATAAACACTCATAATTTTGTCGAATGAAAAGTTCCACTGACTCATACTCTACCCCTTATTATTTATGTTTATCAGTCAAATGTGACATAGAGACAACAATTTATGCGCATTCTTAAATTGAAGTTATTTAAAATGTGTTTTTGGCACCTGCTTCAGCTGCAGCATGCTGACTCACACATTAGTTACTGTTATTAGACTACAAACCGAATCAAGGCTATGCTTTTTATCAATGCTCCACTTTCCCTAGATACTCAACTTACTTACTTTATTTATTAAATATTTCAGTGCACTTTACAGTGGAATATTATGGCCACAATAATAAATAAAAGATTTAGAACTAGAAGTAATGAAATTTCAGTTTTAAAATTTTCAGTTTTTCTTTTGAACCAGGTGGACTATGACAACCATCCTCTGTATAAACATGGAAAGATGGGCAGAAAACAGTCTCCTGTCAGACTCTTCACTAATCTTTCACCCAGAGACATCATCCTTCCCAAAGAGGAAGGTTACAGGTTACAACATGTTCACTCAGTTAAATCCAGACGTGTTCAGAAATAATGTTGGAGATGAAAATGTCTTAAAGTATATGTGATAAAACATTTGAATAGATTGTTATTGGTTTGTGATTTGATGTTAACTAAAAGGGCTTGAGCATAGACTGACCAAAGTCATGTTTTTGGTTAACTGTGGAGAATAAAAATCATCTGTTAATTTTCTCAACTGTAAGAAAATCATCGCCATAAAAAGGGCAAAGTTATGAGCTACATTTAAAAGTGTTTAATTAAAGATATCTTATAAGGATATCTCTCTGATATCTCTCACATTTAGCACAAATTTAAGAAGGCGGTTTAATGGGAAACTAATGGATGCATGAATTCATTGGTGTTATTTGTCATTAATCCCTCAGCTTTCATTTAAAAAATGGGGTTGGGGTTTTTGTTTTGGTATTTTCAAGACTTTTATATGTGAAGAAATGAACAGCTCATACACCACCAACTCCAAGTTTTCCTTGTGCAGTTAATAAAATGCATAAACACATGAGAGTTTTGTGAAACACAAACTGTCAGACGTCTGTCTGTCTTTTGTGTGTATTTAAGCAACTCTGGACATTTGAATTTGAAAGTGTTTAATTTGTGAATGACCCTCTCGTTTTTAGATTTTGCCCTTTATGTGAGAGATATGTCTCATCCCTGAACAAACACTGTGCGAAATGCAACCTCTGCCCATCCAAGGTACAAAACTCGTGTGACTGCATTTTATTTTTAAACTGAAAAGGCACTGCATCAAGTTTCCATTGAATCTTTGCATGTCACGGCCTGTATTTTCTGTGTTTGCAGGACGGCCGAGAATGGAAGCACTGCTCAACCTGTGTGAAATGTGTGAAACCGTGTAGGTCGATTAATCACAGATACAAACTGATGTGCAGTTGCTGTTTTCACGTCACACGTCCCATATATTTCTTGTGAATTTATTTAAATATCTTTTCTGTAAGCCTGGGAGCACTGCCAGTCCTGTGGCCGTTGTGCCCTGCCAGACCACCCATGTACCACCCGTGAAGGGAAGGAGGGCTGCTTTAACTGCGGAAGCCCAGAGCACAAACGTAAAGACTGCTCTGTCAAACACACACACAGGTTCAACAGGTGAGCCAGGGATCTGTTCCTGTTAAGGGATAAATCTTGTCACTCCACTCTACCCGTAAGATTTAATATTTACACGTCTTAACTTGCTCGTCTGTGTTTTACTCCTCCAGACATCGGACCAAAGCCAAAGTTGGAGGAAAAAAAGGATCCCCCCAGTCCCTCCTCAGACTTAAAGCAAAGAGGAAGTCTGGTGCAGCTCGCAGAGCAAAGTTGTTGGCTGGAAAGTCTCTGTGACTTCAGTAGTCAGGCAGTACCTTCTCAGCTGTGCAATCCAAAGCAATATTTTTTTCCTTTTCAGCATGATTTTTGTGGCAGTGGTTTAAAGTGTTGTAACAGAATAAAACTTGAAGGGAGAGTTTGGTTTGTACTTTTCTTTAAATGCTGAACTGACAAGTAAAGCTTTCTGTGAAGGTTTCCAGGTCCACAGCTAAATTTCACATCCACATAATATGGCTTTGTATTCAAGTGTTCTCAAAATACTAGCTTATCACCTTCAGCCAGTACAGAAACAAAGAGCAGTAATCAGTCCTTTTTGATCTCTGTAACGCTGCAGGTTTTTCCAGGGCCGGGTAGTGTACAGTGGGTTTTATGTTCTCCCCCTATAGGTGCAACTAAAGCTTTTTGCATTAATTGCCCATATAATGTAGATTGCACCTGTTTATCATTTTTGACTTAGTCTAATTCAGACCAATTTCATTTACAACTTAATTTCCTACAAAATTAAGAAAGACCCCAACAATCAGACAGTCAACAAGATGCATTTAGCAATGTTGGGTGATTTAAAAACTCCCTTTTAACAGGAAGAGACCGCCACCAGCACCAGGCTTAGAGAGGAGCAGCTATTGGCTCAAATACACCTGCTGAAAGACGTGAAAACCCAAGAGCAACAGCAAAATGGATAGAGAATATGCTGCAGTTCATTAAAATACGTGTCCTTGTGTTCACTATAGGAAAAATGGCGTTTCTCAAGTTTTTCAGAGCTCTGGACCTGTAGGCTTGTTTCTGCCCTGTTATACCCTTTTCACAAGCTCTTCCTGTGAGAGTATTCTGACATTAAAGATTTTATGGCTCAATAAATTTCAGTGCACTTCTGAGTATTTCAGTAATTTCATAATTGCAGTTAAGAATGGCCGTAGAATAGGTTTACAGTCCTTGGCAGGTGTCTTTGCACATTATAACCACTTTCTAAGAATGAACAGCAGGATATTATGCATTTAATAGA